TGAAGTGGGCGGGCATCGGGAGGCCACTATGGCACGGGGCAAGCACTATGGGCAGTCTATCTGAAGTGTACCTGGCGTATAAGACGACCCCCCCACTTGGAGGCATATTTTTCAGGGCCAAAAAATCGTCTTATACGCCGGCAAATACGGTAACAGTTATAAGTTGTAACAAGGGATAGAAAGAGATAAGAGAGAGATGAAACAGACAAGAAAAAATGGACAGTTTGCCAAAGGGAGAGGGGATGGGTGTTCAAGCCATGTGCCGAGCTGGGTGGCCATGTTTCAGGCATGGAGAAGTACATGGGCAAAGGCCCTGAGGCAGTGAAGAGCCTGACATAATCTAGAAATGTGAAGAAGGCCAGTGATGCTGGGGGATAGTGAGGAAGGAAGAGTAAGGCCAGACGGAGGTGGGAGGTATAGACGTGGGTCAGATCTTCTGGGGCCTGGAGCAGTGGGGAGCTTGGTTAGGGTCTAAACGCTTGGGGAAGCCGGAAGGGATGTTTGGCTGGGAGCATTTTTATCTTAAGAAGACGACACTTGCTGCTGTGTGGATAACAGATTAGAGAGGAGGAAGAGATGAGAGCCATGTTGTAAGGTCACTGCCCTGGTCCAGTGAGAGAGGCTGAGCAGAAAGAGAGGAGAGAGTAGAGGGGAAGCACAGGTGCATCAGAGGCTGCTGGGAAGTCAGCCAAGGTCAAGATCCCTGTGTGCATGGGACTCTGTCCCTGCCTTGTCACCAGCGTGTCGGCATGTACAGGCTTCACACATGCCTTCGCCTCTGTCTGTGCAATCTGTGACATGCTCTGCCTCCGCAGGCATCATGCTGGGCCGCATGGGCGACAGTGGGGCCCCCCTGGTCAGCTTCTGCCAGTGCCTCAATGAGTCCGTCATGAAGATCGTGGCAGTAGCTGTGTGGTAAGTCTCATCAGAGCTGGGGTGTCCTCTTCTTCCTTACTCCACCCTCTTCTAGCCCTGCCCTGGGTCCCATCCTCTGCTCTCCTAGGAGTGAGCAGAAAGCTACACAGGAGGCTGAGCCCTGGCCTGGGGCCTCCAGAGCTACACGTGTTCCCCTGGATACCTCAGCCCTGACCAGGCCTAGTTCCAGCCCTGAGCCTGCCACTTCTGGCCCCGTCAGGCCCACTGGAAGCGAGCTAAGAGCTAAACCTGGCCCTGCTCTCCTGGCCTAGTTTCCCCATCACATGAAGCTCATCAGCTCAGCTTTTGGAGAAAGGAAACTGGAACTGAGAACCAGCTGCCACTCTTTGGTTCAGAGCTCAGACCTTAGGAATCTTCTAGTCCAACCTTGTACAGTTCAGACGGGGAAATGTCATGCACGAGGTTGTGGCATTGCTGGGCTGAAGCGTGGGTTTGCTGAGGGCCGGGGTACTCCTCAGAGGACTGGATGGGAAGGCAGAGAGGCGAGAAGTTGTGCAGGGCTGGGTTGGTTGAGGGTGGTGGTATTCATGATGCCACGTGCTAGGCACCTTGGTACACAGTCTCACTGAGTCCTCACAGGAGCCCCAGCAGGCTCAGGGGGCTCAGGCCAGGCAGTGATACCGTACCAGGGCTGCCTGGCACCCTCACCTGGCTAGCACTGGAGCCAGCTGCCCTGCCCTCCCACCAGGTACTTCCCCTTTGGCATTGTTTTCCTTATCGCCGGCAAGATCCTGGAGATGGACGACCCCACGGCTGTCGGAAAGAAGTTAGGCTACTACGCAGTCACTGTGGTGTGCGGGCTGGTGGTCCACGGCCTCCTCATCCTGCCCTTGCTCTATTTCTTCATCACCAAAAAGAACCCCATTGTCTTCATCCGAGGCGTCCTCCAGGCCCTGCTCATCGCACTGGCCACCTCCTCCAGGTAGCCCTGGGTAGCAGAAAGGACGGGGGATGTGGTGGTGGCTGAACTCTGTCCATCTGTCTAGTCATCATTTGTCTGTAGCCATAGACTCACAGAAGTATCAGTACAGCCCGCTTCACAAACCTGGGGGTAGCTACGGTAATAAGACCAATTTTTGAAATGTAATGCTTAAGCCTCCACCTGCCCAACTGGTAGAAAGCCTTTATCGCCTCTTGAGGTTTCCCCCTCCTCTGACTGTCCACGTTCCTAAGGTTCACTCCGTCTACATGGGGGTCACCTTCCACACTTCAGGGGCAGGGAGGCTAAGGAGTGATGAATCTGCAATTGCTGTGGCCTTTTGCTGCCACATGGTCATTCTGTTGATGTGAGGCCCTGCGCTTTTTAGGGACTTCGCCTGTTTCTTGTTGCTAGAACATCTTGGCTGGATTCCCCATCATAACTTTGGTAGTGACACGAGCCCCATGGGGACTTGAATCATGGTTGCATTGCCCACTAGCTGTGTGACTGTCACTTGACAAGTCACTTGACCTCCCTGGGCATCAAATTCCTCATATACAGACTGGGGATCACTGTAGCCTCTGCCTCAACGGGTTGCTATGGGATTAATGGAGATGACCCACTAAGGGCAAGAAGGCTGCTCTGGGCTGGATGAAATAGCACACCTGCCCGCAAGGATCCCAGACGGCAGCTGAGAGCAGAAGAGCCCAGGGAGTTAGATTCATGTGAACCTGGCTGTCAATCAAGGAGGAAGACGTTAGAACATCTAAACCTGTGAAGAAAAGATGGTTCTCCCGACAGTGAGTGGCCAAACTCCACATGGAGGGAGTTGCCTGAGCTCGAGCCCACATTTCTCTGGTGCCAAAGCCTGGCTCTTCCCTCCAGCCCTTGCTGTCTTCTCTTCTCTGGGCCTTAGATTCCCGACCTGTAAAATGGGAATGAGGGCCACCACAGACCTTCCCTGACAGCCACAGGACCCCACCCTTGGCAACAGAAATACCTCAAGCAGGAATCAGAAGGAGCAGAGCCCCATTTCAAAGCCCCTTCAGCCTGTTCTCCCCCTGCAATGGGCCAGCTGCCCAGGGTAGAGTGAGCTTCCCATTACTGACAGGAGGGCGACCCAGAGACCGTGACCATCCTGGAGGAGGGTGGTGGACAGACACCTCTCTGCCCACAGCTCAGCCACACTGCCCATCACCTTCAAGTGCCTGCTGGAGAACAACCACATCGACCGGCGCATTGCCCGCTTTGTGCTGCCTGTGGGCGCCACCATCAACATGGACGGCACCGCACTCTACGAGGCTGTGGCCGCCATCTTCATCGCCCAGGTCAACAACTATGAGCTGGACTTTGGACAGATCATCACCATCAGGTACACTCCTGACACCCCATACCCAGTGTGGATTGGGGTTGGGGGTGGGCCCTGGAAGGGCCTTCAGGATTCTACAGCTCCCAGACCTCATAGAGCCTCTGAAACCCAGAGAGGCTGAGGGTCTCATTCCAGGCCACACAGCAAGTCGGCGCTGGGGCTGGGACATGACCTGGCCTCTGTGACTCGTAGCACAGGGCTCTGTCCACAGCGCTGCCCTACAGAGGGGTAAGCTCCAAGCAAGCTGGGAAGCTGAGGCCTAGAGAAGGGCCTGCAGTCCTGACACGCAGGGCAGGGAGGGCACTGCAGATGGGCACAGAGCAAACAAAGGCCGGGGGAGGGCTGGGGGACAGTGGAGGGGTCACTGGTACGGCTGGAGCTGAGGGAAGGGTGTTGAGGCGCAGAGGCTGAAAGGAAAGTCTTGCATGTCAGCCTGAGGGCACCAGTCTGACCGTGGGGACCAGGCCCCAGAGGGAGACTGGGGGAAGCTGTGCAGGTAGACCATCAGAATCTCTGGGCAGCTTCCTGGAAACCTACAGAAGCGGTGGCTCCAGACATAGGCTTTTCTACAAACTCCTCAGGAGGTTCTGCTGAGGCCAGGGATGGGGGACCATGGGGCTACAGGACCTGGAGAAGAAAATCCCTCCCCTGTCCTGGAGAACTCCCCGATATGGCTTTAACAACCCCTGCCTCATATGGCTGTCTCCACGGGCCCTGGAATTCTGGCTTCCTCTTTGGAGCCAGGGTCTCAACAACTCACCCTGCCCCTCCTGCTTCTCATCTTCCTCTCCCTACCCCCTCCTTCAGCATCACAGCCACCGCAGCCAGCATCGGGGCAGCTGGCATCCCCCAGGCCGGGCTCGTCACCATGGTCATTGTGCTTACCTCTGTGGGGTTGCCCACAGATGACATCACCATCATCATCGCTGTCGACTGGGCTCTGTGAGTGGGGTTCGCCCCCACCCCTTGGGCAGCATGCATTTGGGGTTGGCCAGGGAATTGCTGTGGTTTGGCACAGTGGGGGTGCCTCATGCATCAGTATTGGCCTGGCTGCATAATTTGTGGGGCCAATTTTCAAAAATGAAAATGTGGAGTCTGTTGTTCAAAACTTATAAAGAACTTCAAGAGGGTGAGAGCAGAGCATTAAACTAAGCCTGGGCCCTTCTAAGCACAGGCCCTGTGTGACCGCACGGTCACACCGTCATGAAGCCGACCCTGTATCAACCTGCTTCAACATCACCAAGGGGGTGGTGGTCTCAAGAGGACCAGGAAAGTGCCTCGCTGTGGTCTCGGCCTTGGCAGCCAGTCCCCACTGCCCTGCCCTCTCCCAGCTCCCTTTACAAGAGCCCGCTGTTCATCACCCACCTTGGCTCACCAGGGACCGCTTCCGCACCATGATTAATGTGCTGGGTGATGCGCTGGCCGCGGGGATCATGGCCCACATCTGCCGGAAGGACTTTGCTCAGGACACAGGCACCGAGGTAAAAGCAGTTCCTCCCTCTCAGCCTGGCTGCCCAAAGGCCCCTGGCAAGTGGAGCCAGGATGGTCTGGGCACCAAATCTTCCACCCACCAGCCGGGCAGCCTTCAGCCAATCCCTCCATGCCTCCGGGCCTCAGTCTCCTAATCTAGTATCAGGGTAACTAACTCCTCTAACAGCTAGTTGTTGAGTACCCACCATGGCTGGCACTGCTCTAGACACAGAAGGAGCATTGGTGAACGAAGGAAGATAAACTCTGCGCTTGGGTAGCTGTGCCCTAGTGCAGGGGTGGTGCTGCCGACAGCAATGTGAACATTTATACATCTGCACGGGGCTTCATGGTCTTCATGGCTCCTGCCCCACCCAGGCAGGGGAGCCACCAGTTCCCCCACTGAACCTTGTGAGTCAGGTCCCCTCCTGTATTAAGATAGCCCCAGAGGGAGGCAGGACAGCTTGGAACGAGTCTGGAGAACCCCTGTGACCTACCAAGCTCCCACAGCAGCGTGTGGGAAAACCGATCTCGTGGTTCCCAGCCCTTTGCTTGTTCAGTCCGCCCCAGCGTTCACCTCAGTCCCTCCTGCTGCTACCAAGGCCGTTTCCCTCCCCAGAAACTGCCACCCTGCGAGACCAAGCCAGTGAGCCTCCAGCAGATTGTGGCGACTCAGCAGAACGGCTGTGTGAAGAGCGTGGCTGAGGCCTCGGAGCTGACCCTGGGCCCCACCTGTCCCCACCATGTCCCTGTTCAGGTGGAACAGGACCAGGAGCCAGCTGCTGCCAGCCTGGACCACTGCACTATTGAGATCAGCGAGCTTGAGACCAATGTCTGAGCCTGCAGAGCTGTAGAGGCCAGGGGAGACCTCCAGGGTTGGGGCCAAAGGTGACATCTCAACTTAACTACTTTCCTGAGCAACTGACAGGGGCCAGCCTCACTTTCTTCCTACCCTTGAGAAGCCAGAATTAGCTCTGCTGGATGGAAAATGGAGTCTCCGAGAGGGAACTCCAGGCTGAAGTGATGAGTGGCATAGGCCAGCCCCAACTGAGACATTTCCACCGTGTTGGCCCATGAGGACATCTGGGAGGGGTTATGGTCCTAACTTTCTGGATGACAGAGTTGAGGCTGAAAACACAATGTCCCAGGTCTCAGAGCAAGTAATGTCAGGGCCAGGACTCTCACTCAATCCTTCCAGCCCTGGTCACTCCCTCCCAGCAGACAGGGGCACCTGCGGGGCCAGACACCAAGAGAGGTTCTGCTCTTCTCCAGGAGCCCCAGAGCTACCACTGCTTTTGATTTATGAAGATGTAACAACAGTGTCCTGGTTCTGCCCCCTGCTCTACTGTGTCCCGGCCCAGGCCAGCCCTCCACCCCATAACACGTGGCGTCAAATAACTCTCTCCAAGGACAGGCCCAGCCCAAGACCAAGGCCTGCTGCCTTGCACATGCCACAGCCTATCCAGTCTCTTGTCCCACCAGTTATCTGTCGCTCATCTGATGTGGAGATGGAGATGTCTTAGATTTTATATTCCTTTCTGTGTTTGCAAATTCAGAGACAGCAAAATAAAGGTATTTTGTTTTTTCAAATCTTGTAGGCTTAGTGACCATGTTCTGGCCAGCATTTCTTTATTGGGCCAATATAGGCTGTCACAGCACAGACTGGCCTGTCTGGGCAGCTAGAGTATGGACAGGCCTGTCCAGGTAGCCAGGACATAAACAGGCCTATCCATGTAGCTAGAGTGTAGACATGTCTGTCTGGGTTGTCAGGTTACAGATGAGCCTGTCCTGGTGGCTGGAGTGAGGACAGGCCTGTCTGAGCTGTCACATGTAAGGTGCAGAGTGCAAACTGGCCTGCCCAGGGACCTGTCTCAACAGCCACAGTGTGGACAGACCACTCTGCCCCTAGCCTGGGCTTTGCTCTGCAGGCAGGTCCCTCAGATCAGTGCCCACAAAAGGAACAAATTTCCTCAGTCAGTCTGGCTCCCTTTGGTGAATGCTTTGCTTTAAAGAGGGGACATGCCCAAAGACATTTCCAGACTGTCTCCCTCATTCTCCTCGGCCCCAGGGTGCCTCCGGGAGGCCCACAGGGGAAAGAAGTGAACCCTGGCCACAAAGCCTGTTCTGGATGCACAGAACTGGTCAAGATACAGTTCTGGGGTCTTGCACTATGGAGTCATGAAGACACTGAAGCTGGGGGAGGGAACAGGCCTCCCACTCAGAGAATCAGGAGGGCATCTGCCTCTCAGCCCCCAACTCCTTTACTACGTCCCATCCTCCTCCCATGGCCATAGTCTGAGGAGTCTGGGAAGGGCCCTGACCCCAGAATCCGCCTCCCACTGCAGGGCTGGGGGCTGTAGTGTCCATGGGAGCATCCTTCCTTTGTTAAGGCCTGAGCAACTGGGAGAGGTCAGATGTCAAGCTACGATCATTCCCACCATCATGTGGGGGCTTCTTCATCCCTCCCCTGTGTCACATCTCTAAGGCCCTTTGAGCAGTGGTCTGCCCCACCACAAGGCAGGAATGTGCTCCTGATTGGGCTCAGCAGGAGCACACTTACACCCCCCCAGTAGCTGGTCACTGCTTCCTGGGTGTCTCATCCACGGTGGATCTTCCTGTCAGAGGCTCTTCTTTGTTCTGAGCCAGGTGCTGTCCCCCCAGCCCGTCTCAGCTCTGGCCCTGTTGAGGGTGCCACACTGGCTATGTCTGTCACCTCTTCCCTAGGCAGGCCTGCAGAGACCTGGGCCCCCAGTCAGCTCTGCTCCAGCTCCTAGGCCTGCCTCGGGTCCCCTTCCCACCCCAGCTGACCTCTATGGGACAGACCCCATTAGTAATGCCCACTCAGTGCACAGGCCACCCTCCAGGTGAGCCCTGAGCAGCCCGAAGCTGTCAGGCCCTTCACGTGGGTGCTCAGCCTCTGAGAGTGCACAGTGAGCTCACAGGCCCAGAGTGGCTGTCTGGCTCGACCTGCTAACCCCCGCTGTGCTGATGGGCTGCATATACCTCCAGGCCTCCTTACCTGTGACTACACCCTGTGGCCCTGGACCTCTGCCTGTGGGACTACTTTGTGGGCCCCCAAAACAGCTTTGTACTGACTCCTGCTGGTCCGGACAGGTGCTGAAGTGCTTGTATCCTGCCCACGCTGGCCAGGCGCTAGCTTAGCACCTGGCAGGAAGCACACACAGACATGGCCACAGGCTGCCAGACAAGGCTAATGCTTTTATATTAGTTTTTCTGTAACAAGAAAAATCAGCTTTGAGTTCTTTATCATTCTTTTTCTTAAAAAAAACAAAAACAAAAACAAAGGCAGTCAGAACTCCCCACAGGCCCAAAGAATAAAAACGGTGTCTCATCAGTGGAGTCGGGCCCTTTCTCCTCACTCCTGCCCAAAGCTCCTGGCAATCTCAGACTTTTCCTCTGGCATCAGTGGGGCTTGCCCATCCAAGATGTGCCTGTGGCCAGCCAGAGCATGGCAGGGAGTGACTCCCCCAGCAGGTGGAGGGCAGGGTGGGCGGGGCCAGGGCAGCAGTTCTGAAGGTTCCTGTCCCCAAAGGTAGAGAAAGGAACAAAAGCCAGCTTTTGTGAGTTCCAGAGGGCAGCAGGCACCTGGCCGCAGAGAGCTCGGAGATAACTGTATCTTCTCCGGAGGACAGACGGACAGACGGACAGGCAGACGGAGAGCTGTTCTGGCCACTTCTGGCTGAGGCAAGAGCTGTTGGTGGCATAGGCTGAGGAGGGCTGTTTGCACATGACGTGTGTGTGTGTGTGTGTGTATCCGTGGAAGAGAAAGTGGGAGCCTATGTATGCCAGAGCGGGATCAGACCCTTCCCCGAATCTGCGTGACCCAGAGGCAGTGAGAGTGGTGGTGGGTGTGGGGCGGAGAGTGGCACCCTTTAGTGGAAATGTGCACCTGGCTGTGTATGGGTGTGTCATGGTATCTGCGTGTATCTGGCTGTGGCACGAACTGTACGAAGGGGTGGGGTGGGAGACTATTCAGCCTGTGTTGGCGGAGGGCTGTGGGTACAGTGCTGGGTGTGTTTGTGAGTGTGACAGAATGGGGGCTCACAGGGCACAGGCACGTGCTACAGAAGAGGGTCCAGCGGTCCATTGTCCTGCAGAACATGTGGGAGAGTCAGGGAGACCACAGCAGACCCACCAGCCACGACTTGCCTGGGGAGGAGGTGGATCAGAACTGGGGGGCCCACTTGATGGCGCTCTGGGAGGACCAGGTAACTGTGGGCAGGAGGAGGCGTTGCCACTGGGAGCCCAGAGCCAGTGAGAGCCCACTGGGAGGGGCTCATGCTGATGTGGCCAGGCCTGGTGTGGACTAGAGGGCCTTTGGGTCCCACTGGCCACTCTTGAAGCCTCTCCCAGGACCCTACTCAACTGACCTGACCATGGCCAATGTCCTCCAGAGGGGGCAGATTGTCTCCCACCCCAGGAATCTGCCACCGCCACACCCCCTTGTGAGGGCCATCAAGTCCTCACTGAATGGCCAGTCACCCCTGTTGCTGACCCCTGGCTCTGCCTGAGGACAATGCCTGGACAGAAGGGGTTTTAACTTCATCGCCCTGGACCCTGGGAGTAGAGGAAGGTGACTTGCAAGCACTGCCCCTAGGCCTGCCCTCGAGGCTAGGACAGCTGCCTCCAGGCACACTCTTCTTCCCACCGCCTGCTGTCATCCACAAGTGGGGTCCTCACACCCCTTAGGCTCCTCTCTGTCCCAGGCCCTACTTCAATTCAACATACTAACAGTGGCCCCGTGGGCCACACCCTGACCCTGGGATCCCCCCAACTTGGCTCACCCTGATATCCCTCTAACCAAACCTTTCCCACCTGTAGGGGTCACTCATCCAACCGTTCCCCTCTCCAACATCCCTCTCCAGTGGCCCTGCCTACCAACCCCTCCTGTCCGCACCACCTTTCTGTCCCAACCTAACTCCTGGGATCCACCACTGCACACACATTCTTGCCAATACACTCAATTTCCTTGTTCCTTGCCCTTCTGTCCCACACATCTAACCAAAAACCCAGCCATAGATGAATCCAATTGTTCATCTTTTCCACCCCCACCCCCATCTGCTGCGCAACTCCTAATGCACAGAGAAAACAGAAGGCTGAAGGCATCTGGCTGACATGACTTTATATCCAGCCACCAAGTCACTAACCTGTGTGTGACTGCAGCTACTCTGTTCTCTGTCCCTCCTGCCATAGTGGAAAGAGCACTCACCTTCCTGCCAAAGCCATTTCCTCCTACTGTTTCAACAGGATCACTACACCCAGCTCCCCTCTCTTGTATCTTTAACTCCTCCCTCTACCTGGGCTCTTCCCCATCAGCATTCAAAAACCAGCTCTATTCCTTTAAAAAAGCATAACATGAACTGAGCCCTCCCTGAACTTCTCACCCCTTCCCACTACTAATCTCTTTTATCTCTTTACAGCCAAACTCCATGATAAAGTACTCCTTTCCAGCCATTCTCCATCCCCATCACCCCTGAGGCTGCTCCCCACAGGGTCATGGGAGACTGCCTTGTGGGTAAAAGCAGTGGGCCCTTGGCAGTGCTCAGCTCCATCAGTCTCTCAGCAGCACAGCTGCTGATTCTCCCCACTTCCGGAGAAGCCTGTGCATGTATGCATAACCTGTATGCATGCATGCATGCATGCATGCATGTGTGTGTACATAAGGGCCCGTGGGCAAGGGGATGCATGTGTATATGTACTCACTTGCATGCAAGTGTGCACATGTTCTGCATCTGTGAATGTGAGTGCATATGTGTACAGTGTGTTCTGCAAGTGTGTGCATTTGGGTGTATGCATGTTTAGACATGTGTGCATGAGCCAGGGTACATGTGTGTTGGTGCACTGCGTGTACTGCGGGTGCTTGTGTTACATGTATAATACGCTCTGTCTTCTACCGTCTGTTGTTTTCCTACCTCCCTCTCCAGATTCGCTCTCTGACCCTGCCTCTGCAGGTTGCTCTCTCATTCTCCCTGGGTGAACACCTCCAGCCTCCTACAGCCTCAGTGACTGTTTCAAGGGTGACAATGCCTGGATCCCCATCTCCAGCCCAGAGCTCACTTCTGATCCCCAGATCCATAATATTCAACCCATCCCTGGGCAGCTCCCCTAGTGCCTTCCAGGCCCTCAAACTCAACATTCCCCTAAACAAACCTGTTCTTTCTCTCATCCACCCACAATTCTAAGCTTGAACCAGGGCCTTGTCTCTCCCTCACCCCATGTCCAGTAGGACTACTCGGGCCTGTGAGTCTGCCCCCCAACCCCTTTATGTCCATCTACTTGTCTGCATCCTCACCTCCCCACTCCCCACCCCCATCTCTGGCTTGGATTACTGCAGTAGCCTGAGCCCCCACATGCATTCCCTGCTTCCCCCACCCCAGCCCGTGCATGTTCCATCAGGGCACTCAGCACCTTGGAGAGAATCCCCTGGCTTAGGTTGGCCTCCCGTGGGCTTACTGTTATACCCAACCTCCCACCCAGGGCCTGGCGCACACCAGGTGCTCTTATAGGTTTGCAAAATGAACGATAAAGCAAGAACAGAGGGTGAAGAATGGACAGAAAGACTCTAGACTGGGTCAGGAAACTGGTGAGGAGAGGTGAATGTGCCTCCACACAGACCGACCACCCACCTATGTCAGTCAGATCCGGTTCACCTGGTCACTATCGCCTTTCCTCGTCCTCCTCATCTTCCTCCTCTTCCTCCTCCTCCTCCTCTTCCTCTTTCAACTGGCCCCGGTCCTTGGAAACGTCACCAAACTCAAAGTTGCCTTCTATGTCCAAGACCTGTAGGTGCTTCAGCCTCCGGAAGGCGCTTTCCACCACAGAGCCCACGGCCAGCTTGTTAAACCTGTATGGCCACCCACGTGGGGTCAGTGCCAGAAGTCCAACCCTCAGAGTCCCTACATTTACACACCCCAAAGGAAAAAGGGGAGGGAACAGGCTCTCCAGGAAGATGGTGCAGCAAGCACAAACAGCAGGGGGCTGGGAGGCACTGCGTATCATGGGGAGTCCAAGCTATCTGGTGTGGCTACACCTTGGAGAGATAGGGGCTGACCCTGGGCCCCTCATCCACCCGTAAAGTGAGGGGAAGGATTCCTCTGCATAGGTGGACATGGGCAACTTCTGTCACCTGCCCTCTGCAATTAACCCCGAGGCCTAAGACCCCTGGGCTGCCAGCTTGGGGGTCACCCAGTGCCTGGTGTGAAGAGGTACACAGGCAAGGCCAGAGCCATGTTGGGCCAGGGACACACAGGTTGTAGGGAGGCGGAGGCTGGGCTCTGATCTCAGGCCCCCTCAACTCTGTGCCTCAGTCCCCTGTAGGAGCCAGAGCACAGGTCATACTCTACCCCAATGTCACCCAGCCTAGGGCCTTCTGTGCCCTGGGAGTGTGCATTCTGCCTTTCTCTGATCTGTCTCCTTCTCTGTGATTTGAGGGGTGAGAGGTAGGGAGACCGGGAAGACCCACCCTGGCTCTGCTGTATGGAAGCTCCTCATCTCTTTGGGCAGCTGGGTCTCCTGAATCATTCGAAACGATCAGAGCCCAGTGAGGACCTGAATATCTGCTGTCCTATACCTGAGACCCAGGCACAGCCTGGCTGGCTGTGGACACATCATCACCTATGTTCTCTGGGACTCAGTTTTCCCAGGGGGTCATGTTCAGGGCCACAGGGGACCTCCTACCTGAGAAAGATCCCCTTGAGATTGGGTGTGGAGTCAAAGGCATTGGCGGGCACAGTGCTAATCTTGTTGTTCTGCAGGTACAGGTACTCAAGTGACTCGGGGAGCCCCTCGGGGATCTCCGTGAGCTGATTCCCGGCAATGTCCAGCAGCTGCAGGGGTGACCAGGAAGTCAAAGCATTTAACCACTTGCAAGACGCCTGCAACTCCCCAACGTATCTAAATCTCACCATAACCCTGTGAGGTGGGGTCTATAATCCCCACTTTCCAGATGGGGAAACAGAGGCTCAAAGAGGTGAAGAGATCTGTCCAAGACCACACAGCCTGTACAAGGCTGGCACCCAGCGTGCCTGACTCCAAACCCTTGTTCTAATTGCTGGTGTCCTACCCAGCTCCTTCTGCCTTCCCACATGGGTTCACAGCCAGGATGTCTGCGTATCACAGTCCTTCTTCCTTAACACACCTGCCACCCCCATCAGAAGGGCGGGGGCCAGGGATCCTCCAGTCTTTGAATCTCACTCCACTGGCCCCAGAGGAGGGTGGGGTTGGGGGGCCATATGGGTGGGGCTGCTCATTTGTAGACCTTGTGGGTCACATGGGCAG